TTCTACGATGTTAGTCTTGTTGACGGCTTCAACTTGCCTATGTCCGTGGCTCCACAAGGCGGCACCGGCGAGTGTAAGGCCTCAACTTGCCCTGCTGATGTTAACAAGGTGTGCCCGGCTGAGTTACAAGTGAAGGGATCTGATGGAAGCGTAATTGCATGCAAGAGCGCTTGCTTAGCATTCAACCAGCCACAATATTGTTGCACTCCCCCTAACGACAAGCCGGAGACATGCCCTCCCACTGAGTACTCTAAGATCTTCAAGGACCAGTGCCCTCAAGCTTATAGCTATGCTTATGATGACAAGAGCAGCACCTTTACATGCAGTGGTAGACCTGACTACCTCATCACATTCTGCCCATCATAAGCATATATATATATATATAATGGGATCTTATATGTTATAATATTATATACATATAGTTCCCAATAATAAAGAAGAATAAATAAATTTCCTGGATCTTGACACATTGTTGATGTCAAGAATTTGTAATGCAGACGATCAAATAAAGAAATAAATGTTTGGATTTTATTTTCGTTCATGGCTTTCAAATTTTTGTTTCCTTCATTTCCTTATATGATGCATTATTTCCAGCAACAAAGCATGAGCATAATATAAAGAGAGTTAGCTGCAATTGAAATGGTTATCAAAACAGGAGTTTAGATACAGATTGTAATTTTCTATCATAGCTGGTAAGGAATAAGAATGGCCATTTACGAAACTATAGTATGAACAACACTGAGAAACACAAGTATGGCCATTTCAAACAGACTACATATGACTTCATATTCCAACAATGAATCAATAGCACCCATGGCCATCTACGTTTAGCAGCATCTGAAGGTAGATAATCTAATTAATGTTAGAAGGATAATAGTTTCTAAAATTCTTTATTAAAAACAATCAACAGACAACCACCAGAGACTGTTGTGGTGAATTGGAGACAAATTTTGTTTTGGAAAAGATGATTACTTCTCAATGCTTGACAGCTGCATATTGCTAAAATATGAATATGGTTGAATACTTTAAGTTGTATTCTTCTCCAGAAAGGGATATATAGGAGTTTACAAAGGTGCTTTACAAAGAAATAGATACAATAAATCACCATGGTATACAAGGTGAATTAGAGACAAAAATGTTTTGGAGAAGATGATTATTTCTGAATGCTTGAGGGCTGCATATGACCCCCTCCCTGAAGAGGGTGAACATGAAATGGCTTTTTTAGGGGCTAAGATTCCTGGTATGTTTAATAAATAATTGATATTAAAGAGGGAGCAGGGAGAAATATAAAATTAATGAGTGTTTGTTAAAAAAAGAAAAAAACTAAACTTGATTTGTCAGATTTAATCTCATTCGTCGATAGCAAGCTAATCCAATAGTGTAAAACTTGTGTAAGAAAAATATCTATTAAAACTCTAACAAAAATGGCATTTTTCTAATGAGTAATGCTACACTTACCATATTATTATCCCACATTTCTATACCATATGATATGACATATCCATATTATATGTCACATCAATTAAATGAATGAAGTGTATTTTAATAAATAAAATTAGAAAAACAGAAACTAGTATTTTACATGATGTGGTATGTACACATCAGCTGCCACATCATGTAGTATAAAATTGTGGTATAAAAAATGTGGTAAGACTAGTATTATTCTTTTCTAATAAACATCATCATGGTTTGTTAGAAGAATTTCAAAGAACACATGGTCTTGCTTGTGGCATCTCACCTATTCTAGTCATAATTATAAGAAAGTTGTACTTTCCGCAATGTTGCAATGAGGAAAACAAATACAAGTGTTTAATTTCATGGGCCTGTTTTTCTAGGCATGTCTTGCATTTGGGCATGCCCAATTTTATGGGGCCTATTTCTTGCCATGAGAATTTTTCCTTGGTGGGAGTTGTTTTTTGAGCCTAGACCCCCTTTGCCATGGCAAAGGGTAAGGACAAATAAGGGTGGTTACTATTCACATGAATAGTATATGCCTAGCAATATTTTTGTTGCTTTTCCACCCAATACCATGGCAACCCAAGAGCAATTACTATTCACATAGGATTTATTTTATTTATTTTTATGAGATTAATAAAAAATAAATTAATAGGTATGTATAAAAAAATATATTACGTATTTTTGGTAATTTTTCAAAACAAAAAAATCGATTTTTTGAAATTATTTTCTTCATTAACATCAGCGCCCTCAGGCAACAGCTTGAGCTATTCTTGCCTTCGAATCTACCCAATCTTGGTGGAGCCCACCATTTGCCAGGGCTGGATTTGATCGCTGGAATGGGTTTCTTTGGCCTTTTACCCTAGCAAGTAGGGGTGGGCACGATATGGTATGGTACGGTATTGAGCCCGTACCGCTACCGATACCGGAAATTTAAATCGGTATGAGATTATGGTTTGCCAAAATTGGTACCGTACCATACCGTGCCAAATCGGTATCGGTACGGTATCGATATCATTTCGGTACCAAAATGATACAACTAAAAAAGGAACCAATTCAATATTCAACACCAAAATAAGTGATGCCTAATTTACAAATTCAAAGATTCAACGTATTCAATACCCAAATCCTAATCAACATATTCAATATCTAAATCAACCAAATCAATATTTATCCATCAACAAATTCATCAAACCCAAATGGTTAAAACTCATGCCTTATGGCTTACAAACCAAAATAGTTCAAATTATGCCTTATTGCTTACAAAAATACAAACACAATCCAAACATAAATGACAAAAACATAAAGTTATACTATTCGGTACGGTACGGTATTGACCGGTACCAAAATCTTGATACCGCTACCATACCATATTCTATTGGTACGGTACGGTACGGTACCGAATATCTCCCCATACCAAATGAAACGGTATGAAATCGGTATGGTGCGGTGCGGTTAGGGTACGGTTTCGGTATTTCGGTTTAAGATGCCCACCCCCACTAGCAAGTCCACAAGAGCGCCAAGGAACTCTAGTTTTCCAATATGAGACTAATTTCAACTCCAACATAGCTTGCAATGCCTGCTTAGCCAACAATTTCTAAGTTTTAATTTGCAAATGCTCGTTTCATGGTTTTGGAGGCATTCCTATTCTTGTGTTGTGTATGAACCAAACGACGGGAAAAAAGGATTTAGCGCCGCTCTCCCAAATAACCAAACCCTAGATCTAGCGCCGCTCCATCTCTGCGAGGGGGAGGAGGAGTCCTCCTCCCCCCTCCCACTTTACTGGAACTTGCTAGCCTTTCGAGGATTCTGTCTCGGAGCATTTGGAATCCCCATCTTGCTCAGTCTGTAGCTTTCTCTTTCGAGGGCTGGTGACGTGTTTCGAGCTTCACCTGCTCGTTTCTGTGGCATCATGCCCCCTTCCCAGTTTGCATCCCCAAATCTTCACTATACCTTTCCCCTCAGAGATGTCCTTTGGCTATCCCCCGATTGGCTGTTTTTATCTTCTAGGTGCGTCGATTTCGAATCTGGTGGAGCGGGGGTCCCTCACTCTTCCATCTTGACTTGGTTGTGTCTATTGGATATTGCGACTAATCCGAAACACGATCTCTCGCGTAAATCTCGGAAGTTGTGTAGAGCCATGGCAGTGCTATGGCTCAGGTGCTTGCACCACCTCCTTCCTTTTTCATGGTTCTGTTACTCTCGGCTTTTGACGGATTTGAGGGTTTCGGTTATGGTGGTGGATTTGTGGTTGATAAGCTTATCTTTTGTTTGTTGTTCAATTGGGCATTTTGCTGTCTTATTTCAAATTGTTGTTCTATGTTGTAACTTCTGTTTATCTGTTGGTATCAACATCTGGGACAATCTTGGTGTTCTTGTTCATGTGATATCACAGATTAGTTATTCTGTTGTGCTTCCTCACTGGATTGCTGATGTTGTAATTCTGGGCTCTCCCCGTGTTGGGTGAGGTTCTTGTTTTATGAAATATCAACTTTAGACCAAAAAAAAATAATGAACCAAACGACGGGTTTCTAAATTTTTTCACCCCTTCGTTACATTTCAAGCCAAACCAACATATAGAGTAGAAATAGCAGATGTCTTCTTGTGTTTGTCTCTCTATCGCTTTTGCAGGTCCGTTTTTCAAACTATTCTCACACAATACAGCATCCTTCCCAAATACCCTTTCTGTTGAATTTTAATTTTAATTTTCTTAATTACTTTCCAAACAATAGATAATTTTATAATAACCCCCTCGACAAACAAATTAAACTCTTTCGATCGCAGACAAGATGTGTGTACAAAGTGATTTGCCATTCAAACACATGAATATATATTTTCTTTCAAATGGTTGGTGTGTTTCATATGAGCAACGACGAATATTAGATTGTCTAGCTCTGGCTGGATTAGAGTGGATTAGAGGGGAACCTGGAGAAGTAAATAACGAAAGGATGTTATGAAATGTCGCATCTTGATGAGCAATCTTTTCACCACATATTATGTTTCAACATCATTTTTTAAAGATACTTTTCTGATTTTAATTCGCTACTAACTGACCAAATATTTGGACTATGCTATGCACTATGATAAAGAATTTCAGTCTTGGTTCGTATTTAAATCAATGTGTTGCTACCATATATATCTTTCTTTTCAATAGTTGTCTGAGACATCCTAAAAATTGCAACAAGAACTAGGAGAAGACTCTTGGATATAGTAAAGAGAGATACATATAGAAAACCACATGTTGTGCAGGCCCCCACCCCATTCCCTATAATGGGGTTAATCGTTTTATTAGTCCCCCAACTTTGACCGGATTTGCATTTGAGTACCGAAATTTCCAAAATGGTGGCCGCGATCCTTTAACTTTAGTTTCATTTGGATTACTACTCCCACCGTTACTTCTGTCAATTTTTTCGTTACATTTAGGGGTAGATGGGTATTTTCAGGTTGGTTTGAGGGACAAAAAAGACTTTTACTAAGAGGAAGAGAGGCTCATTGAAGAGCAATTAACCCAAGACCCCGACGATGTCGAAGCGCTAAGGTCATTGATGGAGGTTAGGATCAAAGCCCACAAATTGACAGAAGCGATTCAAGTGCTGGACCACTTGATAAAGCTCGAACCTGAAGACTATGAGTGGCAATTGCTGAAAGCCAATGCTCATAGCTACATGGGTGAGTTTGAACTCGCTACTAGTAAGTTCGAGGAGATTTTGGCCGAAGACCCTTTGCGAGTCGAGGCCTATCATGGTCTTGTGATGTTAGCTTGCAATCCGCCGAGAAACTGGAGAATGTGGTGAAGAGAGTGGAAGAGGCAATGAAGGGGTGCAAGAAGCAGGGGAACAAGTCGGATGTGAGGGATTTTAAGCTGTTAATTGCCCAAATTCGCGTGATGGAGTCAAATTATTCTGAAGCTTTAAAGCTTTATCAAGAGCTTGTGAGGGAAGAACCCAGAGATTTCAGGCCCTATCTGTGTCAAGGAATCATTTATACTATGTGTTGAGGCCCAAGGCTGGGCCCAAATATATTTCGGCCCAGTACAACACCAAGCGGAAAATCCTTATTTAAGCAACATGTCACGCTACAAGCTTAAGCGGGCCCAAGCCACGCAAATGCCTGGGGCTTGCTGAACGGGTTGTGGTATGGATGGTTACGAGCATTCACGAGGCGTATTGATGGGCCAAGAAGTGGAAGTTTTGAGCTGCTTGGGAGCACCGAAAATCGAGCTCATTTCTTGAGCCCAAACATATAGGTAAGTTTGAGAGAGAAGAAGTGGCCTAATAGCTTAGGAAAATATCCAATGGCTTGCAAACACTTGGAGAAAGCCCAGCATCATTGAAAATATCCAGCATCCCTGTTTAAACCAGATCGAAGCCAAACCATCAAAACCAAGCAAACCTATGTGCTGATCACCTTTTTGACTAGCACCCTTACCCATTCTTTCCTCTTCAAGCTTTGGTAAGAAAACAAGAAACAAAAGTGGGTGGCACCTCACCCACATAGAGGAGTCCAGCTGCCTAAGGACCTTGGAACCCCTAAAAAGCTGTGTGCCTATGGGTTCAGGCTAGAGAAATTCACCAAACAAGCTTAAATGGAAGAAAGTGAAGAAAATGGGGAGGGAGGCTTGACAAAATTAAGGTTTCCAGAGCCTATAAAAGGAGCCACTTCCTACCCAGCAAAACAACCAACCTTGGTTGCTGCAAGCCTCCCAACAACCATGAAATCTCATCTAAGGCAAGCATCCCCTCTGGAACCCTTCAATTTGGTGCTTTGTTCTTCCATTTTCTTCCTCTCTCTCTCAAAACCCACATCCATAGAGAGCAAGCATCACCTCTCATCCCCGGAACACTTCAATTTCGAGCCATATTCCTCCATCTCTTCCCATTTTCTCTTCTATCAAGCAACCCAGGAGCTTGACGAAGCTTTCATCAAGCTGCCGGAAGCTTGCTCAAGCCACCTCATTCCTCTTCCTCATCTCTTCCTATCTCCCCTCAACAAATTCTCCCAAAAACTCTCTCTTCCCCTTACTTTGAGCCTCTATTTTTCATAGGAAACCCAAGCCTTCTCTCTCTCTTTCTCTCTCTCTCTCTCTCTCTCTCTCTCTCTCTCTCTCTCTCTCATGCTAAACTCGCGAATGCTCAGCTCCCATGCCACAAGCTTCTCATGCCAAGCTCAAGAATTATCTGTAAGTGACTATTGGTTTCATTGGTGAATAAGACCAAGGTGTTTCCTAAGGCTCAGTTACCCTTTCGAAACACTCTTAGGGTCTAATCTTTGAACTCAGACTCAAGGGGCAATGTCACGCATTTGGCTCTTTACAGCAGCCCAGACCCATTAGTAGCTGCCGGAACGAAAAGGCCCCTACATTATGTTCAGGAAGAATAAAGAGGCTAAGAAACAGTTTGAAAAGTTCAGGAAGCTTGGGCACATTAAAAGGCAACATGATGCACATATTCAGGGATGGGAGAGGAGGGAGGGCCAGGGGTAGAGGAGAGGTTGGGTTACCCATTTGGTAGCAATGGTTTTTCTTTCCATGGGGATTGAAACCTTCTGTAGTAAAGTTCAAAATATTTTCTTTTAGAAGTCATTAATCTTGTAAGGCTAATTACATACTGCAATACAATTGACGAATGTTTTGTGATTTTTAAAGCATCTTTTTGACCTTATATCACAAAGATGTCAATCTCCTTAGAGTTAAAGTCTAAATTATAAAGAGTATTTCGATGACAATATGTTTGCCATGAAGCTTTTTGGGCAGAAGGCGGAGAGGGAGAGAGCAGAAGGCGGCGAGGGTCTATTTCAGAGGGAAGGCAAGTTGCAGAAGGGGGATAATAAAGCCAACTTGAAAAGACTCGTCTACCCCCAAATTTAATGAAAAAATTGATAGAAGTAACTGTGGGACTAGCAATCCAAATGAAACTAAAGTTAAAGGACCGTGGGTACCATTTTGGAAATTGAGGTAATCAAATGCAAATCCAATCATAGTTGAGGGACTAATAAAATGATTAACCCCCTATAATAATTTTGGGAGAATCCCCATCCCTATCCCCGTTGGGGGACTATCTCCCAAAACCCGCTCCGAATTCCCGATTATTATTATTATTTATTATTTTCAGATTTTGCTTTCCTAACTAAATTGTTTTTAATGATGTCTGCAAATTTTAAGCTTGAGATCAACTGAAACCATTTTTCACAAAACCAAATCAAACCCACCCAACATTCATAGCTACACACAACCAAGAAATACACAAAGGAAAACCCATTTAGCAAAACCATTAAAAAAAAAGAAACAAGAAAGTGACAAATTTCCCAAGCATGCAAAGGAGATTGAGCTTTTGAGTTTGGTTATGAAACAAAGCATGTGAAGAAGATTGAGAAACTAGAGAGCAGAGGGGGGTGAGTTTGTTGTGTTAGAGTATGCTAGGATAATAACAGCATATGAGATTATACGTTTATTATAATTATATATATTATATATTTATAATTTAAACCTATGTATATAATATTTTCGGGCTGGGTTCGGAAGATGAGGACACCATTACCATTCCTAGCCCGAACCCACTGAGGAATATTTTTTCAAGGATTTCCTTACTCATACCCGATATTTTTAATTGCAAAAAACCCTTAAATAGGTCTATTGTTACACAGGCAAAAAATAAATAAAACGTGTGTACGGGATTTACAGAGTAAGGATGAATTTGACGAAGTGAAGTGGAAAGATATTGTTGAGAAAAGTGGGTTAAGTGGAAATGAGTGGCTAGAGTAGAGAATCCTTATATGAGTTTCGTTCAAAATGGGGGCCCGTTCCTGGCCTATATGTGAATCATGTTTTCTTAACCACCGGCATGCGTATTATGACAGTTCTATCTCTCACTGAGAATTCCCAAATCATGTGGTCATTCAAGCCAAGATGCCCACAAAATTTAGAGACCCAATCCAATTGAAGCAACAACAAAATCATAGAAGACAAAAAAATATCTCAAGTAGGTAGAATGGCCAATCACAATAATGCTAAGTGACGCCAAACTAGTGCACCAAATTTGAGTTTCAAATTACTTAATACGTGAAGTTATAAATATTTAATTAATAAATGCCAACTTAATTAGATTATGATTTAGTTCATTTGTATTGGGAAGAAGATTAAAAACCTTAAATGAATTAATAAAAAGTTTTGCAGCTCGCCCTAAACAATTAAGCTTGCTGTTGTACTTACCATCGTTCCGAACATCACAAATAAACAAAATCTTTTAGCCATTAAAAAAACAGAATCAATACAAGTAACAAGAACTATGTACTTGTATTGATTCACTTTAGGCTTAAAAAAACAAAATCTCAGAGCAGCCGCCAAGGGTGAAGCTATCAAGGGGCTGTACTGGGCTTCACTTTAGGCTTAAATGTATAAAGAAATGCAGTACAGTTAAATATTAGAGTACTACCTCATAGCCACACATGGTACATTTTTTTTTCTCAGCCAACGAAAAGGTACAAGATCAGACAAACATAACTTACAAAAAGATTAAAAAAAGGAAAAGTAAAATAATAGAACGTTAAAATAACACAACTTACACTTTTTTTCCTGCCCCATTATTGTTTGTCGTTGGTCAAACTCAAATACAACATTAATATATTAGAACATCATTAAATCAATGGTACCAAGCTCTGAATGTTCCCCAATCTGCATGCAATCTAAGATAGTACATCACCTTTATCTATCAAGTTTCTAATCTTTATTAATTGGCTGTTTGTTTGCTGATTAATTGGCTCCAATTTTTAGTTATACTGATTAGTGTTTTTTTGGGTTTGGTTGTACTTATTTGTGTTAGTGTTTGGAAAATGAATTTCTAAATTTAACTAGACTATAGGCCTCGTTCGCGTTTAGTTATGCTGTTTTTGGGCTTTCATCCCCCAACCAAACAAAATTTGAATCATTATATATTATATTATAGAAAAAGTCAAGAAAAAAAAATTTAGCTAGGCCCTAAATAAATTCTTGGTTCCGGCATTGGCTTTGCCTAGCTAGTCCCTAAATTTATCTAGGCTTTCTCTGTTTGAACTCAAACCCTAGATTATTTTCTCCATGGTTATCATGGTATCAGAGCTTTGGCTCTTTGATTCTTGATCCTTTTCGCTTCCACTCCACTATATCACAATCAATTTTTGAGATTCCGGCTCGAAATTACATCAATGGCAGTTTGTTGGATGAACATGCTTCTTTCCAGTGTGATTCTATTTCTGGCGATTCTGCAAGTGTTCTTCGCTAACTTTCTTCGTGCACTGTTCTTCTTGACATGGTGATCTCCGGTATGATGATTTTGTATTCAATTGCTGTTTACACATGATGCAATTTCATTAGAAGCACGAAGCATATTCTGTATTTTTCTTGAAGCACGAAGCTGATTTCTCTGCATCCTTGAAGCACGAAGCACTTGATCTATTTTCTTTCTCTGCGTACTTGAAGCACGAAGCATTTGCTCTAGTTTCTTGAAGCACGAAGCTCATTTTCTGTTTTTTGAATTCGTTGAAGCACTAAGTTCTTCTATCTGCCTATTGAAGCACGCATTTCTCCACTCTGCCATGACTATTACTGTATAGAAAATTGAAACCTTACTAGGTCTTTTGACTATTAAGTTGAATGATGATAATTTTGTGAAGTGGAACTATCAGTTGGAGTCTGTTCTTCAAGGATATGACCTATATTGTCATTTTGATGGCACATCTGTGTGTCCACCAAAATATGTCATCACTGAGTCTGAAGGAGTGACCACTGAATTAACTGAGGATTATCGTCTGTTGGAAACAATCAGTAAGTTGTATAATATAATAGAATATATATATATATAAGGCTTTTGAATGAATCAATATATAACAATAGAAAAATTACATATACAAGAGTCTGTATTAAACAAGAAATACTAGCTTGCGAAGATGATAATGGCTAGCATATTTGCTATGTCCTTAGATAGTATTTTGCCCCCACTCTTGTGCTTGTGGTTCTGCAGACGACTGTCCACCAGGATACAACTATCCAAACCAAAATTCTAGCACTTGAATTTTAGTATATGGCGAACTACACTATGGATACTCTCAATGGTTTTTCAGTGTTGTGTGAGATGTATTGGGTTTCAAAGTTGGTTCTCGTTCTTTATACGTTTGGCTATTTAAATAAGCCTAAGACACCCCTTGGACATATCTGTTCAAACAGATATGTCTGAACTTTGAATTTCAAACTAACATAAGTTATCCAAAGTTAAAAAACTTAAATATATAAATATATATATATTTAATTTAAATAAGGCCAACAAGTCCAAAGCCCACTTCAGAAAACCCAATTGTGTTTATTATAGTGAAAGATCCCTACTCTTATAAAGAGTGTAAGAAACTCTTTTCCCACTCAAATTCTAACATCGTCACTGGATTCAAACTGATAAAATCTTTGCTTAGTTTGCTTATTGCAACTTTGTTTGATGAGGCCATAGAGTATGTCATTGGATGCAAATCTGTCAGGGGTGCATGGTTAAGCCTCACAGATCGGTATGCTTCAATCTCAAGGGCTCGAGTGAATCAACTCAAAATTGAGTTGCACACTATCCACAAGGGTGGTGATTCTGTAGATAAGTTTTTAATTCGTCTCAAACACATTCGAGACCAATTATCTGCAGCAAGTTTTAAACTCTCTGATGATGACATCATTATTGCAGCCTTGAATGGTTTACCACAGGAGTATGATATGATCAAAACCGTGCTAATGGCCAAAGAAACACCTATTGCTCTCAAGGAGTTCAGAGCTCAATTACTGTCTGTTGAGAAAAACATTGAATCCTGAATGTTATCATTGAATCACTTATGACTGGATGATGAGTGTCAGTCCATTTGAACCTGGATCATGTTCTCATTCTTAAGATGCCTCTCAATCTTAGGGTACTTCCTATATAGTTGGTACTATCACTGCTTACTCTCAGTCTTCTTTTCCTATGGGATTTACTGGGGTAAAATCCTCAGACAATTCTTCACATGGATCTTATCAGCCTTCAGACTCATCTTCTGCCTCTTATTAGACTAATCACTCAGGCACTTCCAATCACTTTGTTCCTCGTGGTAGAGGCTCCAACACTGGTCGGTTTTATAATCACAGCAACCACATAGGTGGTTTTTCTCCCCGGTACTCTTTTGCCCCCAGATCCCAAGCTATTCATGAGTGTTAAATTTGCAATAAAAGAGGACACACTGCACCAAATTGTTACTACAAGGTTCCAATACCTCTTCCCCACCTATTCTTAGTGCCAAATCTGTAGGAAGAAAGGACATATAGCTTTGAACTGCGATCACATAGCCAATTTTGCTTATCAAGGCTCTCATCCTCCACAGTCCCTTCAGGCTATGACTACCAATCTTTCCTATCCTTTTACTCCAAATTACCTATGGATAGCTGATAGTGGAGCGTCTCATCACATGACGCCCAATGTTCATCGATTACAAGCATTTGCTCCTTATTCTTCTAAGGACAAGATCACTATAGGCAATGGGGAAGGTCTGCAAATAGACCATATTGGATATCCCACTTTATCAAATTTACCTGGCACTTTACACTTAAAACAAGTGTATCATGTTCCTCAACTTGCAACTAATCTTCTTTCTGTGTATCAGCTCTGTAAGGATAACAACTGCATTGTTGTATTTGATGAATATCACATCTATGTGCAGGAAAAACAGACCAACAAGGTTCTGTACAAAGGTCAGAGTGACAAAGGATTGTTTCCAATTCCATAGATTCTTCCTCAACAGCTTCATCCTCCACTTTCCCAGTCTCACAAGTCATACTCAACTTCTTTAGAACCTGTTCTACCTAATAAAGCCGCAGTCAACAATAAAGATAAAATCATCAATAAAGTTCAAAACAAGTTGCCTATCGCTTCACCAGTAGATTCAAGGTCTTTTGCACTGTTGGGCCAACACGTCAAAACTAAGCTGTGGCATCTTAGACTAGGTCATGTTTCCAATGATGTTCTTCATCACATGTTAAAGATTTCTCATATTCCCTTGTCTGTAGATTCCATTCCTGAGATGTGTGATTCATGTTTACAAGGAAAGATGCACAAGGACTCTAGTCTTAAAGATTTTGATATGAACCCAAAATCTGAAAAGAGGGCACGAATTCATGTGAAAAGAGAAACCTGGTTTAGGATTGGTATTAGGGTGTTGTGTGATAGAGTGTATTAGGGTGTACCAAGAGTATTTTTGGTAGTTAAATAGGGTGTACTTAGTTAATTTTACATTTTGATTAAAATATTAAAATGTACTTAGATCATAGGACGTACTCAGTTAATTTTAGGGTTCGTTTAGCATCACTCTAATGGTGTGTTTACTAATCAGGAATTGAAATTCTCATCAGGAATTGATTTCACCTATGGAGGATTCCTGCATTTACTTCATATCAAAGAATTGAAAAGTAAATTGGGCTCACACAAAATTAGGATTTGAATTCCTGATTTTGGAGGAATTCAATTCTTCGGTGAGAGGTAGTATTCTAATTCATGGAGAATTAACCCATAAGGAATTCATCTTTTTTACCAATTATATCCTCGCACAATTTTCAAAATTTCAAATATGTCATCTACTTTAACCCAACGACAAGGACATTTTAATATTTATTATCACTCCTACCTCAATTCCATATGATTTAGTAAACAACTTCAATAGGAATCCAGAATCTAACTCCCCTCAATCTATATAGTTTAGTAAACAATTTTATTAGGAATCCGGAATCTAATTCTCATCAATTCAATTCATCCTCAATTCAATTCCTCCTAATTTAATTACGAATTAGTAAACATGCCATAAATAAATTTGATTACGTAATTTAAGAGATATGAATGTGATGTAAAGCGAAGTGGAAAGAGATTGTTGAAAACAGTGGTTGAAGTGGAAATGCGTGGCTAGAGTCCTTATATGAGCTTCGTTCAACATGGGGGTCAGTTCCCATCCGTACTATTGAGCAGTACCTCTCACTCAGAATTCCCAAATCATGACCACAAAAATTAGATACCCAATCCAATTGAAGCAACAACGACAACACAGAAGAAGAAAAAATATCTTCAGTAAGTAGGCCAACCATGTGGAAATCAATAATGTGGAATACACCAAATCTGAGTTCGAGATGACATAGAATGTGGCACGTCATAAGTATTTAATTAACTAATTTCAAATTAGATTATAATTTATAGTTAATATATTTTAGGAAGAAATTAAAAACCTTTAAACTTAATTAATCAAAAGTCCTGCAGCCGGCCTAAGTCAAGCTTGTTGTACTACCATCGTTCCAACAACAATCAGAAATAAATGAAACCCTTGACCCTCTAAAGAAACGGAATCAAAACTATGTACTATTGATTTGTATATGTAACAATTTTACGGTTTAAAGTACAATTTTACAATAAATTATCCACTAGTGTAGTTGTTTGGAATATTTACTCTATCTGGAAAGGTTTTGAGTTTGAGTCCTAACATCCGTGTAGTGTGTGTGAATTTAGTATGTTATTGGCCATATCAATAGGAAAGTTACTTAAAAAAACAGGTACAATTTACAATTAGAAAAGTGAAACCCAAGGATTTGATGGAGTTTCTGGTCATGGAGATCAAGGATCATTGACTGGCGGAGAAACACCATTGATTTGTTCAAGGGAAGGGAAGAGAAGGAAAAGGGGATTTAGGATCGGATTATCTTTTTAATTGTTTTTTGCTGGGACTTCTTGGAATTAAGTCTCAAACTATAGTACAAATGTGAAAGCTCACTGTATATAGAAATTCCGACTTTTTTCATTTTTAATTTGGAGATTATAGAATAGTACAGTAGTATGATATCATTATACTCGAATGCTGCTGAATAAAACATGCATGCTACGATATAATGCAGGTAATAATTAGTTACTAAACTTTAGCGCACTTTTCATCTTATTTTCTGTCCTTCGTACATACTCCGTAGTCCAGCTTCAATAAAAATTTCATAATTAAATGTTAGCCAAGGAGTGCAGATGTGAAAGACTTGGTGAAAGTTTCAAGTGCTTTCAACCCTTCTTCGGGTGACTTGGCTTCCCCCAACACCTTCACAATGGCACTACCAACAATAACACCATCAGCTCCCCACTCTGCTACTTGTTTCACATGTTCAGGCTTTGATAGCCCAAAACCAACTGCCACAGGCTTGGTTGTTGCCTCTCTAATTTCCCTTAAAAGCCTCGGAACTTGTTCGTTCACCGATTCACGGGCACCGGTAACTCCCACAGTGCTCACAAGATATACAAATCCTTCTGAAGCCTCAACTATCTTCTTCATTCGATCTATTGGCGTAGTGGGTGTAGTTAGTAATGCCAACTCAACATTATTCTTCACAGCCTCCTTTCTCAACCTTTTTGTCTCTTCAAATGGAGCATCTGGAACCACAAGACCATGTACCCCAACGTGGCTAATTGTGGACATGAAGTTTTCAATACCATGCTTTATAATTGGGTTATGGTACGAAAATAGAACGATCGGACAAGACAATTGTGGGACCACGTCCTTTAACATTGACATAATAGAATTGAAATTGGTCCCTCTAGCTAAGGAACGAGTGGCTGAAGCCTGAATAACTGGACCGTCTAGTATTGGATCAGAGTGTGGCACACCTAACTCGATCACGTCCGCCCCACTAGAATCGAGCACCTTCAGCGCTTGCGCCGTGGTTGAAAGGTCGGGATCACCGGCAGTGATGTAAGGGATAAATGCTACTTTGCGTTGGTTCTTCAATTTTGTGAAAGTTTGAGAGAGATTGATGGTAGGGGTCAAGGTGAGAGCAGCCATTGGCGTTATAAGACGTCTCTTGACTGAAACGGCAGATGCTTGGGATGGAGAGTGAAGAAGAAATGGGTTTTGAGGTTTCTTAAGTTGAAGAAAGCCAGTAGCAGTGAATTTCAGAGAAGTAGCCATTAATGGTGTCGTACACGATGAAGGGTTTAATAATTTGGAGGGAAGCTTGCTAATGTTTGATACAAATACAAGCCAATACTTATAAGAGTTCCTAGGAAGTTTGGGACATAGAAAAGTAGCGCCGACATGAACGTGTGAAATTTAAACGTGGAACAGGTTTCTTTTCCTACGAAAGACGTGCAATATTTGGGACACCGTGTCTGTAACCACCGAGTCATGTGACCACGTGAGAAAATAGAGTCGAAGGTGTTGCTACCATATATATCTTTCTTTTCAGGTGTTGCTACCACGTGAGAAATCCTTTTCTGATTTTAATTCGCTACTAACTGAACAAAATATTTGGACTATGCTATGCACTATAATAAAAAATTTCGGTCTTGGTTCATATTTAAATCAATGTGTTGCTACCATATATATCTTTCTTTTCAATAGTTGTCTCAGGCATCCTTAAAAGTGCAACAAGAACTAGGAGAAGACTCTTGGATATGGTAATAAAGAGAGATACATATAGAAAACCACATCTTGTGCATGCTAACTCATAATATATCTTAATTTTTTTAGACAATATTTTCACATGATTCGATTTGAATTTAGTAATTTCAACAAGTATTTAATTTTACCAATGAGGTGTTATTAGTTGGATTGGCCGAGGCCTTTGGTGTGCCTAGAGATGATAATGGGCCGAGTATGGCAATACCATCAACGTCCCCATCCCCTACAATAATTTTTGAAGAATCCCTATCAAACCCACCCAACTACACACAACCAAGAAATACACAAACAAAGGAAAACCCATTTAGCAAAACCACTAAATAAATAAAAAAGAAGAAGGAAGAAAGTGACAAATTTCCCAAGCATGCGAAGGAGATTGAGCTTTTGAGTTTGGTTCTGAAACAAAGCATGTGAAGAAGATTGAGAGAGCAGAGAGCAGAGGGGGGTGAGTGTTGTGTTAGAGCGCGCTAGGATAACAGTATATGAGATTATATGTTTATTATAATTATATATATTATATATTTATTAATTTAAACCTAAGTATATAATATTTTTAGGCTAAGTTTAGAGGACGGGGACGCCATTACCATCCCTAGCCCGGACCCATTGGGGATTTTTTTTTCATAGATTCCCGTACTCATACCCGATACTTTTTTAATTGCAAAAAACACTTAAATAGGTCTATTGGGTACGCATGCAAAAAATAAATAAAACGTGTGCACGGGATTTAGAGAGTGAGGATGAATTTGATGAGGTGGAGTGGAAAGAGATTGTTGAGAAAAGTGGGTTAAGTGGAAATGAGCGGCTTGAGTAGAGAATCCTTAAATGAGTTTCGTTCAACATGGGGACCCGTTCCTGGCCTATATGTGAGTCATGTTTTCTTCACCAACGGCATGCGTATTATGACAGTTCCATCCATAACAATATTAAGGAGTACCTCCCACTCAGAATTCCCAAATCACGTGGTCATTCAAGCCAAGATGCCCACAAAATTTAGAGACCCAATCCAATTGAAGCAACAACGAAATCATAGAAGACAAAAAAATATCTCAAGTAGGCAAGGGCGGAACTAGGAATTTTTCAACGGGTGGGCTAGCTAAAGTTATTAGCTTAAAATTTAATGATTATTTTTTTTGGTACTTACAATTTCTATAGTCTTTCTAGAAATAAAAGTAAACATTAAATCATATAAACCAAGCTAGTTCATAGCTCCATAGACTAATTTTCAATAAATTTTTACATATTGACTGTCATCCAAGGAGTGCAGATGTGAAAGACTTGGTGAAAGTTTCAAGTGCTTTCAACCCTTCTTC